GAATTGGTGCTGAGCGGAGCAGACCTTCTTGCTGTGCCAACACCAGGTGTGACCCAGAGGTGAGTCACACTCAGATGTGTCACTGACATCCACTGATGTTCTAGTGTGGTGTGACTTTTAATAGATTTACATGTAAAAGCCTAGGAATCACGTACTCTACTCAATTACAGTTGTTACTTGACTGATGCATGTTTATTAACTAACTTCTAAAACATTTTCCCCGCTCAGCTTTTGGGAGAACTCCCTGGTAGGAGGATGCTCTAAACCATACCTAGACTAAACCAGACCTAGACTGTGCCATTTCTAGGGCTTAAGGAAGTAGGGTCCGTGTCTTGGGGTTACTGTTGATCAGTTGTGTGACCTGAGGAAAAGTCTCTTCACCTCTCTGAGTCTTCAGTTTCTTCACGGAAAAGTGAGGCCTGCTGTCTCTGTGGCTCAGGCTTACTGTGTGTGTGTGGGGGGGGGGGGGGGTGTTATGGGAGACAGTCTTTACAAAACTCCAGGTACTTCCCTGCGAGCTATAGGCACACACTAATGAGACTGAAAAAAAGTTCCCAGTGTACAGCAAGAACACAGGGGCTTTCTTGTTCCCCCCAGACGCCTCCCATGAGCAGACTGAGTGTTCTCTCTCACCACCATCTTCTTTTTCTGTCATGTTCCTCGAACAAAGAAACTATGAAAGTAGGTCTCTCCTTGGGAGTCTGCCTTGATGGACCAGGATGCTACAGAGCGATTCAGAACTGGGAGCACTTAGAACAAGGCTGAGCAGCTTAGGCAATGACTCCGAACATATCCCTGGAGCCCACACCCAAGGATTCTCTTCACGTCTGTCCCCACTTAACGCCCCAGCGAGAGCAGGTGATAATGGCACTAGCAGGGCTTTATGTGACCGAGTAAATGAAAATCAGGTGCAGGAGTGTTGTGTGTTAGACTGGATGGCCGAGCTTTGTCATTGCTGAAAGAATGACCAAGGAAAGGGTTGAAGTCAGCTGAAGCAGCGAGGCAAGCCAGCATCCAGCTGCCTAGAGAATCCTGGGGCCATAAGATTTCTAGGTGTGGGAGCTGGAAAGATGGCTTAGCAGATAGAAGCTATATGAGAATAAGGGTCTGAGTCCTGATCCCACCACCCATGTAAAATACTGCGGCAGGATGGGCACCCATAACCCTAGCACTGGATGGAGTTGCAATTGGGAGGATGGCTGGGGCCTGCTGGCTACCAGGCTAGCTCCAGGCTCAGTGAGAAACAGACCCTGCTGGGAAGGAGCAAAGCAGAGCATCTGATATCTTCTCTGGTATCCACATGTGCATTCAGTCATACTCATAAGTGCACATATAACACATACATACACAAAGAGAGGCAGAGAGAGAAAGAGAGAGACAGAGACAGAGAGACAGAGAGACAGAGATTCAGGCAGCAAATGTTAAAAGGACTGGATGTTCAACATCCTCAGGTTGAAATGAGGAGAACCAGCCATCCTCAAACATCAGCATACTTACGAATCCCCTGAGAAGCGCAGGACCATGTGGGCTCCAGGCTGACTCCTGAGATTCCGATGGAACAAGTCTGCCCTGAGAGCCTGAAATCTGCATGTTCATGAGTGTCTAGGTTAGTTCTGCACAGGTGGTCCAGACCTACAAACACCAACAGACTCGCCCACAAAGCCCATTTCTGTTGCTTTGTTTTGAAAGGGATGAACACCTTTCCCAAAACAAAAGGCAGATAGTGGAGAAGCAGAACTTTAAGCTTTCAACTCGGTAAAATTTCAAGATAATTAATAGAGATTGGTTAGTTGCTAGAAAATGAAGGATTCACGAGTGCACCATAGATTGGGTGAAAAAAATAAATTACACTTAGATGATTTAGTATTTCTGAGATGAAATAAATCTAATGGCTGAGTGAAAGGCAAAAAGTAAACTTCTATCATCTGAAGTTATCTGCTATGACAATATTTCAGCCATCCATTGTGTGGAGGAAGCCTGGACCACCAACATCAAAAGACATTGACTACATTCAAGAACACATACTAGGAAGGGACACAACCGCATCTAAAAATAAATGGCTATTACCAACCCACATAAATCCAGAGAGAGGTGTTTGCGGTCCAAGGTGACCTAATATTTTCATAAATAACTCCAAAGATGGAGTGGGAATTATGCAAATCAAACCACAGATGATACAAAAATGGCAGGGACCGCAAGTCTGTGGAGAATGGAATTTAACTAGTGGGCAATGTCTTTAAATTTGCCTTTATTGAATCTTGTATATTGAAGTCACACATTATTGTATCTGCTTATTGAGATTCGATGGGGCCAAATGCTGAGTGATTTAAGGGAAGAAAGATAATCAAATGCCTCCGGAGAAAGAGTCCACACCTGGAGACCAGACCCAGTGCTGGACAGATAGGAAGTGACGGGAAGTGGTTCGGCGTGCACAGAGCACTTGGGTATTCTCTGAAAATGGGGGCCATTCCAAGAACTGGTGTATAAATCAAACAAGGAAATATCTATCCTTTAAGCTACTTGGCCTCGATGCTGCTTCCCGCAGAAGTGTTTCCAGACGGGAGTTCGGAGCAGGATGATGGCACCGGGAATATGTAAGACAGACCCTAGTTCATCCAAGAATACAGAGGATGCAAGACCAAACGCTGAGCATGCCGACTTGTTGGGGAAGGAGACACAAAAGACGAGGGGATGTGGCAGACAGAGCAGTTCCAGCCCTCATTAAGGAAACACACAGCTGGAATGGTGGAGAAAGGGCGGCTAGTGGTAGCGCCATCCCATGGGACGCTGAAGGAGGGTGACCGGACACCTCTCTAGTTAGGATGCATTAGAGATGATTAAAAGCATTTCTTGTCCAACTCAGGGGTGGGGGGGTGGGCTTCGTGACCTCTCCAAAGGTCACTTCTACCCCTAGGGATCACCTGTCTGAAGGGCACCAGATAAAAATAAAGTCCATTAATCACAAAGCTGTCACACAATGTCCTGAGAGAGCCAGAACGAAGAAGGGCAAACTGCAATGGACCTTGCTTTGCAGAGGGAGGAAGAAGGAGGTGGTACGTATGTGGGCAGAGTCAAGGAAGCAGCTGCGGAGACTTCCGGAAAGCTGGTGCCGTCCTATGATGAGTCCTTCCAAGTCTTTCTTCAGGAGGAACAAGGGGAGGGGAGCAGAAAACAGCCGAGGACACCAAGGGGCCCTAAACAAAGCTGGGGGGATTGGAGGAGAGGATCTGCTTGAAGCACAGACCAGGAGCTAGGAGGAAGGAGATGATATAAAGGCTCTGTGCAGAAGAAGAGGGCCAGGAGTCCGGCAAAAAGCAAGCCAGGATCCAGGCCAAGAGGAGAGCCAGGAGCTCTCCTTGGAATGCCACAAAAATTCTAGAAAGAGGGCCAGTGAGTCGGCTTAGCTGGAAAGTGCATTTCCCACCAAACCTGATGACCTGGGTTTAATCCCTGGGACCCACAGAGGGAAGGAGAGAACCAACTCCTACAACTTGTCCCCTGACCTCCCCACAAACCATTGCATGTGCGCATCCCAGCCACAGACATACAATCCATCACCCATCAATGCAATGAGACCATTTTCTGAAGTTTCAGAAATAGAGTAAAAAGTTAATCCCACTATCTATAACAGCAGAAAATCACATAATGGGAAGCATAGCTTTTTAAAAGAGAAACGGGGTAGTTATGTCCTCTTCAAAGCAACTGCTGGCCCTGTTACTGGGGTGCCGTACACAGCTGGACATCCTACCCTCTGCCCAGTCTCCCAAGGACCAGCATGCTTGGACTGTTCACATATCAGAACCCAACTAAATGCCATTCGGAAGTAAGGCGCAGATCGAAGCAGGTGCTTTCTGCCAAAAGCCACCAGACCCCAGGCGCTGATCCCTTCCTTCCTGGAACACAGTTGCTCGGGATGGCGACATGACCCGCAGACGTCTCGGGAATGCCATCTGCGTGGGGTAATAAGCAGCCAAATGAACGCCACGGAGTTTGAGTTCTGGCAAAATGTTATCCCCCCAGACATCATCTCCACAGGGCACAGACGGTCTTGAAAGCAAGAGGCCAGTGAGGGGACAGGGGAAAGGGACTACTCCATGTGCCCCTTATGTACAATTCCCTGGCTTTCTTTGTCCTCACAGAGCTGCAGGATCTGACAAGATGGAGAGGTACCCAGAGGGACCACCATGCCAGGCCCTGCCTTGTCTAGCTTCCTGCTGTTCTCAGAGCAGCCTGGTCCCGGTGGCCAAGCTCTGGGTTTCGATAGCAGATGAGAGGGGAAAGGAAGATGCCTAGTCTTGTGCTATTGATGGTTAGTCTTACCGTGGAGTGAGCAGAAGGGCCCAATAGAGTGACAGTCAACAGGGCACGGCTGTGGAACCTACCACCCCATACCCTGGCATGTGAGGAAAAAGAAAGCTACTGCCTTCTTGGTGACCACAGTCGCTCCTTTGTCCCCCTCCCTTGGCCTCTACCCTTCTTCTAACCTCAGACTCTAACCCAGGAGCCACACAACCACGTTTCCAGTGATGTTTCTGAATCAGGAAAGGAAGGGTGGAGATGAATCGAGGGCCATTCAAGCCATCATCATAGGAAGATTCATAACCAGTCCTGCCTAGGACAGGAGAGAAGGAGAGAGAGATGGAATTAGAGGGAAAGAAATGGAGAGTGACAGGAGCCAGTCACCTTTGTCGGGGAGTTTCGGGTGACACCTTTGTTTGTGATTCTGAACTGGAGAAGGATGTGGAGGATGACCCTTGAAAGAGACCGAGAACGTGGGAGGATGTAGGCGGAAAGCCAGAAGGGAGACCTGGCATCCTGGAGGGCAGCCCGAGAGGGTGGAGTCCCCTGCCAGACTGTCCATGGTGCCCAGAGCCCCGCCACAGCAGTGGCAACAGGAGGGAACGTGGCCACACAGAGCTGGAAGCAGAAAAGCCTGGGGCGGCCCAGAGCTGCCAAGGCAGCGTAGGAAGACTGGTTTACACAGCACACAAGATACTCACTGTCACACACGTAGGGTTTGTCGTGGTCTTCCTGAGAAGCAGCATCATGCCTCCTCCTGCCGCCTGCAGAGCCACGAGCCTGAGGAGACATTGAGCATGAGACACTTGTTACCACAGCCACTCAGCTCATGGGCATATACACTCCTGAGGGCCTGTGTGAACCACCTGCCTCACAGCCCCTGTTCCCATGCCAACCCTGCTTTACAAGCAAGACAACGGAGACCCAGGGGATCGGGTAACTTGTCCCAAATCACTCAGCTACTCACCCAGCTCGTCCTATTATTTTCATAATAACTCCAAGAAGGAGGTTTATAATAGTGGTCTCCTTCTATAGGGGAAGGGACTGAGGCAACAGGGAGGTGGAGTAAGTTCCCCGGGCCATTCATCTACCAAATGCAGAGCCAGAATAGAAACAGGATGTGTGACTGAAAGGAGATGGCCTGGCCAGACTATGAAAATCCTCAGCTAGTGGCATTATTCTGGTGGGGGCACGGGAGTGGGGAGCAAACTGGACTATGTAGGGAAAACATGGGGTTACATCTTTAAAGGTTTTACTTGTCCTGAGCACCTTCTTCCTGCCCCTCTTGGTTTCTGGGTTACTGTGAGAGAAACTATTTTGTACAGTCATGTACTCTCACCATCGTGAGGGTCTGACTCCCCGCAGACCCCCAGCAATGGAGAAAGCCAGCCGCGGCTGACCCCTCTGAAGCTGTGAGCCAAACTAAAACCCCACTCTCTCCAGCGCTTTCCCACAGCAAGTCTAACTGATGCAGTCCCATATCCATCAAAAACGGGGCCTCTACTCTTCCACCACACAGCACCTCTTTACTTCACTGCCAGTGTAGAAAACGCCACGCTGCTTGCTGTACATGCTGGTCACCTGATGAGCACCCCGGGGGTGGGGGGAGGGGAGTAGAACTACAGTGTCCCCCCCCCCAGGTTCCTGGGCCCACACTGACTCCTCCATCATGTTTGACCTTCACAGTAGAGCTGGGCTGCAGGCAGGGCTCCTGTACTTGGTCAACCTCAGGCCTCCAGCTGGGGACTAAGACCTTAACCTTCAGGGTCAATCAGAGCTGGATTCCTGATACCTACCAGAGCCCCGTGTGTCTCCCTGGGTGGGTCATGTGACCAGGGGGAACTGGGATAAGAAACAAGACTTCGGGGGTAACAGAGACGAGCCTGAAAGGCTGCCAACAGCTCTGCATCCCAAACAGCAGCTACCAGAAAACAGCAAGGCTTATTTATAAGCTACCGTAAGCCCCATGCCGGCCTTCCTGCGGCACCTTAGCCTCCTCCGGGTCAGGCGTTGCTAATGGGTAGCAGTAAACTCCCAGCCATGGAAAGGGCTGGCTGCAGTCTTCAGGGACAGGGAGGAAGGTCAGCAGGAGAGGAGCACAACAGGACAGAGGTCTGGAGTGCCAGCCCAGGATCTGCTCTAGGGAAGTGGGCCCGAGGATTCACGGTGGAAAGGCCTGGGATGGATTCTCCCACACATACACACTCACAAATGTAAGTGTTCACATCTTTCTGGGGACTTCCCTGTAGACAGGCCTGTGACACTCGTTCTCAAAATACACGCACCTCACAATCAACTCCACCTGCCAAACTATCACTTTTGTCTTCTCCTCAGCTTGTCTTTTGGGAAAAGAAAAAAAAAAATGAAATTCCACCTCCCTCCTCCTCTCTACCTCCCTAGCCCCAGCCCTGCTATGGATAGTCAGTAGTAGTTACTGTCCTCTTTTCCCTCCTCCTCTTCTTCCTCCCCATGTCCTCGTTATGCAGAACTAAGCCCCGGAGGAGCTGCAAACTCTGGCCGTCACCCTGAGGCACTGACAGACACTGTGTCTAGGATGCTGAAGGTGGTCACCTTAGGGCCCCGGCCCTCCCCACACCTCCTCAGTGAGGCCAGAGATAGCTTGACATGCACAGCCGGCAGCCCTGTCACAGTCCCCTGGAGCAGGTAAAGCTAAGTCAGGCAGAATGACGAAGCCACAGCAAATGCCAGAAGGGTCTCTACAAGACTGGCCCTGTGTCAAGGCAGGAGGGGAAGGGAGAACAGGAGCATCTGGGGCTTCTGTGGGAGGCAGCAGAGGGAAAGAAGGGTGCTGCTGAGAGCCAGGCTCCCTCCCCCTGCGGCTGGGCTGACCAACAGGGAGCTGCATGCTCCCACGCTTCACACGCACTAGTCTTGCCCAACAGAGATAAGGGCCATAGGGCATCTGAGGCGACGCATGTGGGTTCTCCTAAGGCAACGGAATTCTTCATCTCCTGGAAGGTGCAAGCTCATCAACTCAGAATCCTACGTGTCTTGCTCAAATGCCACTTCCTCCGAGAAGCCCTCCCTAGCCCACAGGTGTCCACTTGCTTCGCTCTTTCTTCACTTCTGTTTTTTGTCTGCTCACAGCATTGTCGGTTATCCGGCACTACATGGACATGTATTAGCTCATGCGTTGATTTTTTTTTTAATCTGTCCCACGAGAAGTAGAGTCCTGTCTGGGCCACCACTATTCCTGGAACCAAGTACATTCCTTAAACGGCTGTCAGGTCATTACATCAATCCATCAGGCCATTGTTGAGTTGACCATTCTTCTTCTTCTTCCTCATCTGTATCCCAGTGCTCAAAGGATATCAGCTGATCCTGAACTCCCCGGGAGAGCTCCTGGCTGGGGCTCTACCTCCCCATTGCACAGCCTAACCCATCCTGCATGACCACCTGTCCAAAAGGAATGAGAAGTGGGAGCCTGGGGTCTTCCATTGCCAGCTCTGACACACGTACACAGCCAATGGCAGCCCACCGCCAATCCAACCGTCTCACTCCAGACTCACGCTGTGTCTGCATCTTTGTTTTCACGGTTTCTTTTATGATCACCCCCACCATGCCATCTACCGCCAACCTACATTTCAGCCCGGCCAGCATCCCTCTCCTCCCAAAACCCTCCTGCCACACTGCAGAGTATGCCAGCTTTGTCTTCAAGTCTGATGGGCCTAGACTTCAATCCCAGCTGTATTTGTCGGATGTTCGTTACTGTAACAAAAATCCTGAAGCAAGGACTTTCCTAAGGAAAAGAGGTTTATTTTGGTTCATGAATCTGGAGGGGCAGCTTGCTGGGGACTCCTCTGGTGATACCCTTCTTGCTACCAAAATCCATAGGTGAAACAGGGAGACCGCACGTGTTTCTCTTTCACCCCTTCTCCCTCTTCCTATTGACCCTCAGGAACCAATCAAGAAGCTTGACCCTGTCCTTACCTAATAATCCTAGTCATTTTCCAAAGGCTCCTTCTAAATGCTACAGCCATCCAATTTCTGACTTCTCCACACCTCCCGAAGGACTTTAAATGTCAGCATACAAAGCCTCACATATCCAAACAACAGATAGCACCAGCTGTGTGTCATAGAACGAGCTACCCCTCTGAGCCTTAGCTTACTTACAAAATGAGCAACCGTAGACCTCATGTGTTGGTACATATCTGTTAACTCAGCACTCAGGAGACAGGGGCAGAAGGGACACTGTGGGTTTAAACCAACCTGGTCTACACAGTAAGTTCCGAGGCTACTTAGAAAGACTGTGTCTTTCTCTCAATCAATACATATATAAGTGGATAAATAAACGGAGAGAGAAACACCCCTGCAGCACAGCTGCTGTGACAGCTAGGGTTAGGAGTGTCAAGCCACAGGACATAGCATTAAGCCCACAGGAAGTGTTCAGTCAGTTGTTGACCCCTCCATGATCCTGTGGAACCTCTGGGCTTTCATGTTTGGTTAGCATGCCATGAGAAGTCTGCGATTCTCTTATTGTATTGTGAGTCTTAGCATCTCCCCAATTTGGATCTTGTGTCCTTGAGGGGAAAGATGGCATTTTATGATGTATCACGAACCCTATCGTTCTGCTGGGTGCACAACACAAAGCTCTTCCATATATATTATTCCAGAAGCTCAGGGGCTTCTGGAAGAGTTCTGTGAGTTGGGACCAATCATGCCACTGTCATTGTCTTGCCAACTGGTGCCAGTTCTGAATGAGTCCATGACTTGCCCACAGTCCCAGAGCCAGTGGAAAGAGCAGGACAGGTTTCCAGACTCTGATATAGAACCCTTTGAATCTTACCCTCCAAACGTGACCCATCATCCCTCCCTGAGGGTGCTCACCTTTCCATTCACATACTGGGGGCCATGGCAGGCAGGAGTGCACCACAGGGCAGTCTTACTGACCATAAGTGGGAAGACTCAGGAAGAGTCAAGTAATTGCTATTCCAAGCCTAATTTAACTCCAACCTGGATCACTAGAGTCTACCTTTAAGGGACTTGGAACTTGAAAGCAGTGAGCTCTGTTCATCACCTGGATTGTATGGACTCCTAAACTCAAGAGCTCTAGAGCCTGGACACAGAGGAGTTAGGAAGCCCAGGTAACAGAGAGAGGAGAAGGAATGCAGAGGCCACAGACAGGGTCCTTAATCTCCTCAGTCCTGATTCCATCACCTCCCTGCCCTTCTTGTGATCTGGATCTTCAAAGATCACTCACATTTGGGACAATGACCCTAAGGTTTCAAATCCTTCTCATTTAAGCTTAAAGCCATTGAGCTTCCTATAACAGAGACCCAGAATGAAGACAGACTCCAGGCAAGGGTAGTTAGTTTTTCTACAAAGGCTGCTCTCGAGTAGTATCCGGGGATGAGCATCAGGCCTCTTCTCCTGTAGGCTGGGGATAATGGCTCCCCAGTTAAGAGCACTCACTGCTCTTCCAGAGGACCAGGGTTCAGTTCCCATCACCCACAGTTGGCTTTGCAACCAGGAGATCCGACGCCCTCTCCTGGCCTCTGAGGACACCTGCACTCATTGCACATGACCACATAGGCATAATTAAAAAATAAATATTTTTGACAAAAGCTATTCTCCTGGTGCCACTAAAAGACCAATTGCCTTTTTCATTCTTATTTTCTCATAAGCGTTCAGCGGGGTTTTCCAGAGGCTACATGACATTTGACAGGGCCGTCAGTGTGCACTTGTATATTCATGAGCTCCATTCATAAGCTGAGTTTTGTCTTAATTTCGAATAGAGCACATCATGAGCGAGATTAATGCCACCTGTTATACTCAGAACAATAGCTTTGAGGGCTGTCAGTATTTGTTAAGGGTGTAAAGAATTCCTGAGGCCGAGAGAGAAGGGGAGGGGACTGCTCAACTACCTTGCCATTGACTGCATGGTCGTCACAAGCAACACCCGGGAGCTTATTATCATCCAGGCAAGAACTTAGCCCCCATACCTCAGAACTAGCACACCAGAATTTGCTCTTTGGCCACACCCCTGGTGTTAGGGGATATTTGATCACACTGTGAACCCTGAGTTTGCATTTGTGTTCATGAAATAAAATCAACCTGGGGTCAGGAGGCTGTGTCAGCAACTAGAAAGTAATCGTAGGGCCTCAGAGCACATCCAGGATGGAGAGACACAGGAAGTGACACAGTGGGGTGTGGGGTGACGCAGGTTTTCCTGGTTTGGCGAAGGAGAAGCATGGATCTTCCTTGAATGCCAGCAAGGAGAGAGGGTTAGCTAGTTGCTGCTCATCCTCTATGGGCTCACAGGTTTTCACTCCAGTCTTTGACTCTCGAGTCTCATTCACAACTAGGATGACGGAGATTTAGTGAAAGCTACCGTTAGTGGCAGCAACAGGGCCGGTGCCTGCGGAAGCAGAACTGTCACCAGGCTGCAGCCTGAGAGGCCAGGTTGCTGCAAGAGAAGCAGGCTGGTCTAACTGTGGAGTTGCAATTGCTGGCTGAGATAGCAGTAGATTAAGGTGCAGCCACTGTGCTGAAATTAAAACAACACCCTGGTGTCTTTGCTCACCACGAGTGTACCAATGATTACTAATTTGATTGCTTGATAATACAAGGATTAGTCCCTAGAACTTCATGAATGTCTTAGGTTAAAGTTGACATTGACACAATTGTTAGTTGTTGGGTTTGCACTGCCCTTGCCCCTCAGAGAACATATAGGATTAAAACTCAGAAAGTTAGCCATTTTGCTTACCATAAGCTTTATTGGTCACTCAATTTTGACTCTGTGCTATTATTCCCAACTCCCTGATGGCCCGCAGGTCACAGAAGTTACATGATTTACCCAAGGTTCAGTAGGTGGTAGAGCTAAGATTTGCACTCCTGGGGTGGAAATTAAAAGAAGGGAAACTGATCCCTTATTTTTCAAACTCACTACTGAAGGCCTGGCCCCCTCCGCATGTCCGGAGCAGCTAGGGTCTTGTCAATGGTGTGTGGGAGGTTGGGCTCCTCCTGCGTTCCCAACAGGCTCCCGGGTGAGGATGAAGCTGTAGTCCAGACCACACAGGCAGATGTCAGGCCCCATGTGGTTGCTCCAGAAAGTTCCAGCAGCGGCAGCTGCACACCCATGTAAAGGCTCAGAGCTGTGGGCGAGGCAGCTTCCCACCCTTGTTGGGCCCAGAGACTCGCTCACAACACCCCCTGCTTCCTCCATGGCTCTCAGCATGGTGACATGACCGCAATGTCACTCACTGTATAACCAAAGCTATTGGCTGTCACTCAGTCATGAAGTTCAAACATGACTTTTCTCCTTGCCTTCCTCATTCAGTTCATTCATTCAGCCTACACATGCAGGGTCCCGGGCCAGGCAGGACTCAGTAGGAAAAGCATAGACTTGTCTTCAAATTCTTTCTTTCTGACCAGATTGAGCAACATTGAGCAAGCTGCTTAACCTTTCTAGAATACCAAGTCACACTTGTGCTGCCACATTTTCTAGTAACTGCTTTTCTGAAAGGGATGAGGTGAGCTAGCTGGGAGTGTAGTTCAGTGGTTAGCAACCAGTTAGCACATTTAAACCTGGGCTCAGCCCCCAGCATCCCAAAACCAGCAAAAATAAAAACAAATTAAAATAAAATAAAATGAGAGGTGTGCTTTAATCTTAATAACATTTTAACCAGGCATAACAAAAGACGTTATTGTTAAAAACATAAAAATTAACAATGAGGTGTTCTGAATTATTTTCCTCATTCTAAGACATCAGAACGTAGTGCATATTTTATATTTACAGCACCTTCCAATCTGGACTAGCATGTGCGAGGGAGCCGTGTGCAGCCAGCGGCTGCTGCAATGCATTGTCGGAAATGGAGAATGCAGAACATAAAGCCCCCAGAACAGCATCATGGTTCTCTATCATGGGCTCATTCAGGAGCCCTTGACTCTGTCTGGTTTGAAGTGTATATAAGGGCCAGGAGGTGCTGTGGCTCCTGACACCTCCACGGAAAAGACAGCCAAGCCCTACTCACTAACTGCAATTTCCATCTTTGACACTTATGCCTGGAGAGTCAGGACCATGCTCCACAGTGTACTCATCAAAGTCTGGCAGGGGCAGAAGAGGGGTGAAAGAAGGTTGGGAGGTACACAGCTCTTGGCATTCACAACAGGAACAGACACTCCATGCCCCTATGCCTCCTTCAATGACGGAGTAGATGTTTCTTTTATTACTGCCGCGCACACACCACAGTGAAATAATACGGCCAAGCAAGTTCATCCACAGCTGCAGAGAACCATTAGGTGAAACCCTGGTGAGAAACATTGTAGGAGAGAGACTGGGCTGCAACAGCCGTTCTGATCAGTTTGAACACCACTAAAGGCAGAACAGCGTGCAAATACACACCTGAAGTCATAAGAAGTACGTATCACCACCAGGAAGGATGCTAACCCCTCAGAGTAGACACACACAGAGAGAGAGAGAGATCCTGGATCTAGTCAAATCTCCAAGCAACCGTAGTGCTCCTTGACTCACAGAGAACATGATCCAAGACACCCTGTGGATTCCTGAACCCCAGAGAGTATTATATGAGCCCTATAATGGAATGCCTTGTCCATCTTAACTAAGTACTTATTATGTACCATGACCCCAACTTCTGTTCTTCTGGGGTGAAAGAGCAAATGTAGCACAGATTCCTTTCTCCTTCACAGCTTCACAGGGAGAAGGGTCATTCCTACTAGAGAGTTTACCAACCTTAGCATATAACACTTTCCTCAAAATGTAAGAAGAGAACTTTTACTCTTTTACTTCAAGGAAAGTACTGATGGATTCTCTTTGACATATACGAATTGTTGGTATCATAACAATTGCACTTCATGGTAAGTGTAATAAGGGTTATTTGAACATAAGCACAGCAATACTATCAGCCTATCTGATATGGCAACTGCTAGATAATTAACATGCAGGCAGCATATATAGAGCAGACACGCAATCTATCTACATATGTGTGTGTGTGTGTGTGTGTGTAGTTATAGTTATATGCAAGTGTAGTTAGTAGGGATTAGAAGAATGAATATTTGTGCCTTGTATAAAAATACCTAATGGAGGTACACACTGAGCCATATAATGAAATGTACAGAATCTTCTTTCAAATACTCTAGTGGGAAACAAGCACATAAACCAACAAACAATAAGTAGGAGAAATGAATGCATTTGACAAAATGGTGGAAATGCTGGTAATTGATGAAGACGGTGGCAGCCTGATAAAATTGCACCATCCAATAGCCGGCCTGCCCGGACTGAGAACTGAGGCCCTTAGCAACAGTAGGAGCATCTTAGCGCACAGTGTAGTCAGCACCAGACAACATGGAACAATCACCTGGGAAGGTGTTTATACCACCATAGCTCAAGGCCTGATCCCAGACCTAATAACTGAACACTGGCCCTGGGTGCCTGATCTCAATAGATTCTCTCCGTGGCACTACTGTCTCCACAATACAGGCTTACAGTAACTATCAGTGAGCACAGACCCACAGCGTCCACAGGACTGGCTTCTCACCACAGGTAGGGATGGTCCTACCTAGAGCTCATAGGAGCTAGACCCTTGAGTCGTCAAAAGTGGACTCTCAGTGAAGAGCCATAGTCCTCCCCTGGAGGTCCCCCTCCACCCGGTTGTCATGATGCCCTTGGATATCACTGGGGGTGATCACAGAACACTTTGCTGAACAAGACCCTAGAGAATCAAATAGAACTTCTGAAGACACAGTCTTGGTCACTCCCTTCCCCTTGGGAACTAGTCAGGATTTTATTTCTCCCCATTAGGGTCTCTCTGCCATTTCTACCTCTGACCCCTTCCTTGTTGATTTTGGGGCCACAAGCCTCTAAAGTTCATGCAAAATCCATTCGGGGGACCACCAGTCACAGTCTGCCTCCTTTCCCAGCCGGCTTCTGCTCTCTCTGCCCAGGGAAGCATGCCCCAGGGCAGGTGTCCTGATCCTGTCCTTCTAGAAAAACTCTACAAACAGCAGGGCAAGACCTCCTTTCATAATGGGGACTCAGAAAACTCTCCTCACCCTCTGCTCTCCCCAGTCCAAGCCCCTCAGAGAGACCTCTGCTTCTGCTCCTCCCTCTTGCCGGCTCTGAACTTTCCAGTCATGCCCTAGCATGACTTTCCTGGGCTCCCGTAGCATTTTCCTCATCTCCAAGTAAGACCATGAGATACGTCTCTCCAGGTATGGAGGGGACTAGAATCAACCCAGCCGTGCTGAATGCTTGCCAGGCCTTGGCATTCTGAACTCCTCCCTCGCGACCCCCCTCCCCACTTACCCGTCCTCTGGTCCTGTTCTTGCGCTTGGGAATGTCCTCTTCCAAATCCTCCTCTTCATTCCCTTCTTCTACATTTTCGTCATTTTCCAAAACCCTCTAAAATGACAAGAAAATCAAAGACGAGACTTGAGAGATGAAATGCCACAGCAGGGAGGACCATCAAAGGGTGCATTGGGGTATTCTGGGGTTTTATTCTTCAGCAAAGCAGGGGTACTGCTGCCGCCGAGGAGTGGGGCATCTCTGCAGCTGGTACTCCTTCAAACCCTCAGGCCCCTTCCAACCAAATCTTGCCAGAACACTGACCTTTCTCAACTCGTTTTAGCCCCTACTCCCTAAAAAGAGGTTCTTGGCAAAAGCCTAAGAATGCTTTCCCACATGGGGCCAAGTTGCCTTATCAAAATGACATGTTCCTTTATTTCTGAAAGGCCACCTGAGAACATCAAAAAGCCATTTCTCCTTTTCTACCTTTGTGAAACTCTGCCCTGCTTGATGAAAGCAAGGAACTTCCTGTCTAACTGGCCAAGATACAGCCTGAATATGCTGCCTGTAGTAATCTACTGTGGAGCTGTTTTTAAGAAAAATAAATTTTCCTCAGGGTGTTAGTGGCACAGGCCTGTAATCCCAGCACAGGAGGAACAGAAGTTCAAGGCCACCCTCACCCAGTTACATAGAAATCTAAGGTCAGCCACGACCATGTGTGCAGCTCTGTCTGGGGGTGGGGGTGGGGAAGAATAAATAAATTTTCGGCACAGCCCTTGAATTACAATAAAGCTTTAAGTTTATAAATTCAAATGAGGCCCTCTAACAGCCCTCAGAGCACGGCAACTTACAAGAGCCAGTTTCCACTCTAAAGGTGCATAAACTGAGGCTGACAACACTTTTGATGTTCACAGTCGTCCAGAAAAGCCATGACCAGAGCAAGCTCAGCGTGGAGAGCTTCACTTCCCACTCCTTCCCCAGCCCTTGCTATTGAGACTCCTCGGGGGGCTTGCAACAGACACTCGGGTAAAACCTGAGCATTTATACCCTCCACAGACAGAAAACGGGGGCAGGAAATGCACCTCCAGGTCAAAGGTGAGGTAAAGGAGCAGAGAGGACCCAGTCTACCAAGGAGCAGGATAGGAAGAAATGGTCTTGGAGCCCAGTGGAGTTCATGTCAGGGACCCACAAGATGGGAGGAGCTTTTCGTGAACTCATGTCCCCTTACTACTCAGCGGCTGATAGCATATGGTGGTTTGAGTGAGAATGGCCCCCACAGGCTCATATATTTGGAAGGGGAAGAAAAAAAAAAACAGGTGAAGGCCACCAGGCAGATTCCTAAATGTCTTATGGTCTCCCGGTTCGGGAAGAACCTGATCTCTCCCCAAAGTTCCACCCTACTTGACACCAGCTTGTAACTCTAGAAGCCTGAGTCTAAAACACGGGCCTCCGAGACACTACCCCATGTGCTATCATTTCCTGCCATGCAACTCTGAATCCAGAAGCCTCGCTACCCAACTCATTCCATGGGAGGAGAGAGGGAATCCTAACAAAGGAAACCTCCGCTGGGACTCAGGATGGGGAGCGGGAACCAGGAGGTAGGAGTGAAGGATGGGGGACCTCCAACATAGCTGATACCTCCCCACCACCCTGTCACCTCCTGGCAGCCCCTGTCCATAGACATCTGAAAAACAGATACATTGAAAATACCTTTCCCTGCTATTAATCTAGATAGCCTTGATTGTAATGGTGACAATGATTTGTGCTTGTGTTTTTAATAGTAAAGAGGGAGAAGGAAACAGGGAGTAAGAAAGGAGAGAGGAAGGGAGAGAAGGAAAGAAGGAAGGAGGGAAGGGGAGGGAGAAGAGGGGAAGAAAGGGAGGGAAGGATCTCCTAACTGATCAGTTCCACCACTGCCCCTGCACTGTCTCCTCTCCATGCACGGCAGGAATGGGAGGAATCTTTATAAAATCCAAATTCACTGCCCTGGACAAAATCCTCCAACTGGCTTCCTTCTCATTTCACATGAAGCCAAAAGAGCCGCAACTAGGTCTCCTGAGGCCTGAAGGGGCTGGCTCCTGTCCTGCCTCCCCACCCCCACCACTGTACTCTGACCACAAGGCCTTCCATCACTGGACAAGATGGGCACTGACCTGTCTCAGAGCCGTCACCCTAGGGGTCTTACATCACTGGTTCCCATCATCCCACAGGACTGTTGTTAAACCCATGTCCCTTAGGACACTGGCTAACCTCTGCCTCTCCTTCAACGCCGCTTCCTCCTACTGGCCTTCATTCATCCAAAACTGTAATTCTCTTATTTATTCACTTGTTTCCCTAACTGCATGACATGCTCAAATTCAAGTGGCCAGCAGCACCCCAGTCCCTGTTCAAAAAAGCACTTCCATCAGTCAAGTGCATACGTGAATTGTTGAGTAAACGTGAACAGAAAAGAACACAATTGATTTATTATCTATGCCATTTGCAATGCAAAGTCAATAAGAACTTAAGTGGTTCGTGGTCTACTTTCAGCTTCATGCAACCTGGACAATACAGTTGCACGCTGTGCACTGGCGGCCACACTGCCAACAGCAGGGCTGATGCCATGATGGTGATACACTAGCCCTGGACAGTAAAGACCCACACTGTGCACTGGCAGCCAAGCTGTGCACTGGAGGCCACACTGCCAGCACCAGGGCTGATGCCATGATGGTGTTACAGTGACCATGGACAGCAAAGTCCCACACTGTGCACTGGCGGCCAAGCTGTGCACTGGTGGCCATGCTGCCAGCACCAGAGCTGATGCCATGATGGTGTTACACTGGCCCTGGACAGCACAGTCCCATGCTGTGCACTGGCAGCCAAGCTGTGCACTGGCGGCCACACTGCCAACACCAGAGCTGATACCATGATGGCGATACAGGAGCAGCATGTCTCCTGGCCCAGAACCACATGAAAGCAGCTCAGACTTGCTCCCAGCTTTACAGTATGTCACTAGGTATCTGGGCTTCTGGGCACCAGCTCTGTACCAATCACTGATTCTGTCAAAGTACACTAATGGAGCAAAATACTAGCAATGGGGCAGCAGGACATACAGAGAAGACAGGCCTTGCTTCAAACTCTACAAGTTCAAACGCAGGGACTAATGCACAACTAGCTAAACACACACACAGTGAAGAAAGTGAGAAGTGTCCCAAACACCTAAGTTTAAAAAGTCTGCTCTGGTTATGGGGGGCCAAGAAAGGTTCAGTGGGGAAGGTGGCGCTGGGACTGGGCCTAACGACTAAATGGACTCCTAGGTGGAAGAAAACATGGACCAGAGGCTCAGAGGGAGACAGCTGAGGAAGGGGAGATGGAGTCTGAACATCAGCCTAAAGCAGAAGGGGGAAACCCAAGAAGCCCCTGGCTACCACGCTAGATTTATTTAGTGGAAACAAAAGATATATTAGGAAGGAGGTGACAGAGGCAGAGCTGTGCTTAAGACTAAAGTAGCAAAGCAAGGCAAGTGGGGCAGAGGGAGGATCAGCATCAGGGTCCCCAGTCATCCACTCAAGAAGGCGTTTTTTTGTGCACCTGCATCAAGCTGGGTTTGCATGCTTGAGATGTGTTAGTGAGGAGGTAGTCAGAGGCCGCCCACCTTGGCGGGTTTACATTCCACCAGGAGAATAAACAATCCCAAAAAATTAAATCCAAAGAATACTAAATGGTGATAAGAGCATTATAAAGAGAAAAAAAGAGAAGCAGAGTACAGGAACGAGATGGGTGCAGGGTATGACATCAATCACAGTGGTCAGGGCACCCAACAGTGAGACGAGAGCCCCCGTATGTCTTGGGAAGGACTTTCCACCCAGAGCAAACAACCAGGGTATGTCCCATCGAGAGAGGCAAGAGGCCCTTGTTTTCCCTCCGGTGTGAGCAGCCATGGGACATCCTCCATCCTCTCAGAGGACTAATGCTCAGCACTAGAAGGAAAGGAGCTGTGATATCATGAAAAGTCATGGAGAAAGAGTCCGTGTATGTTTGGTGACAGAAGCCAATCTGCAAGGGCTACCCGTGTAGCTAGGCAGAGGGTGGGAGAGATGGATCTAGCTGGGGGCTGGGAGCAGAAGGTGGAGTGACACAGTTGGTTTAGGGCAATAGAACGTATTACATTCTACTTGACGGATGCGTAGCATTATCCATTTGTCCAAGCACTCTGCGTGTGGCACACCAAAAGTGAACACTAACATAAACGTGGGTTCTGAGGGAGAAAGGTCTTTGGAAGGCAGCTCACTGATGGAAACAATGCGGAGGGTGTTGATGATGAGAGAGGTTAAGCTTAGGGAGACAGGAGAGGTCGGAAATCTCTTCACTGCCCTCTCCATTTTGCTATGAGCCTAAAGATCCCAGGTTTTTAAAGAGATCTTTGTTTTAAAGACGTTCCAGGACATGAGTGGAGCAACCATTGAGAAAGCAATTAGACACTCAGCTCAGGGACAAGGACGGGGTGATCAGGAGAGCAAGAGGGATATGGGACAGTGGGCTACACTGATTCCTCCTAAAGACACTGCAGACAGGATTGCTGACGACTGGGATGCTGGGTGTAAGACAGACAGGAGCATCAAAGATGACGCCAGGGTGGCTATGCCTAAACTAGTAAGGATCTCCTTGAGGGCTACAGCTGAGGAAAGAGAGGTGGGGGTAAATATATCAGGTGGTGGCAACTAAGTGGAGAAGATTTGGTCATTCATCTTCTCACTGGAAGGGCAGAGGAAGGCAGGTTCAGATTCGCCCCGTATCTTCACAGAAAGCCAACTCCATGCCGGCATATGCAAGGACTGAGCACATCATAGTGAACACACCACAGTCCCTGACAGACAAGTATTTATAAAGCAACAAAATGATATTTGTTGTTATTACTATTATTAATAAAGATTTTAGTAAATTAGTGAACCAATCAAATTTAATATAAAATGAATGAATATGAGATATATGACAAGAATATAAAAATTTAATATATAATACAAATTAATCCAAATATAATTTAATTTTATTTCATTGTTAATAATATATCCGGATTAATTGATATTATTATAATGCTCTGTACTCCACAGAGCATTAGATAACAGGGATCTGGGCTACACTGAGAATGGGAAATGGTAGGCGCCCGTCCTCACAGTGATGCCTAAGAGCTTCACAGGTGGTGTACACAGAGGGTAGTGGGCACACGAGGACTGAAGCAACCGTCCCTGCCTGAGGGGGTGACTAAACTGGCTTGGAGGATGGCTAGGTGGTGCTGGGAGAAGCTAAGAGATCTGGTGAGCGGGAGTTCAGATTGGGGTGTAAGGAAAGGAGCAGAGGTGAGGCAGGGACCCCAACTCTTGAGTCTAGATGATGGGTTGCTTATTCCACAAAGGTAAGGACTCAGTCTATCTTGTTCCTGTTTCATCTTTGGGACTCAGCACAATAGCTGGTGCTCAGAAGTCTCAGCAGATACCTTCTGAGGACAGAAACAGGGAAACCAGGGAACAGATTGGAGGGAACAATGATATTTTTTTTAACCCCTGGGGTGGAGGGATGCTTTCAATTCAAAAGAAGCTGTAAGCTTCCTGGTAGTGGTGTCCAAGAACCTCGGGACACAGATGCAGCCCTGCCCTAGAAGGCAACAAGGTACCAGGTGAGGATGTTCAGGGGGCTCCCGTGGCAGAGGCAGGGTACCTGTATTTCCTGGATGCTCTCCTCTTCTCTGGCATCCACCTTCTTCTCCACTCCCTCACCACGAAGTAAGGCCTCCAGTGTGGTACTCTCAGAGGTGAAGCCATCTTTCTTCAGGGGCAGCTCTACTTCTGGAAAAACCAACACAGACAGACCGGTCAGGCACCCAGAAGCCAGCAGTTCTAGAAGGGTGATCTTTGGGAACATGCAGAGTTCTTGGGCAGGACTCAAACGGCCAGTGTCATCGCCTCTTGACAAGCAGACCAGGGAACACCGGGGTTAGGTTCGACTTTTCCACCAGTGCGGAGTCCCAGAGATCTCAGTCCTGCCCACTCCAGGGAGCAAGCTGAGGTAGAGCAGAGAGGGTGCCCTCTAGAGGTAGGATCAGACTGCCTGAGTCTCAGTCTGCCTTTGCCACTCTGAGGGTGTGGTTTAGGGCAAGATGTTCAAGAAGGCTGGAGTCCATTTCTCCACCTATAAAGAGGAATAACAGGACCTAGGACCACAACACTTTTGAAAACGTCCAAGCACACCAACCATGTCTGATTACTATTGTCTCCAAGGTCTCCCCCGGCCATGCTGGCTGCCCAGCTCTGCTTTGTTCCATAAAAAGCTATCAGCCTCAGAGAGGCTGTTCTCATCAACTCAAGGGGAAGCAGAGGCCCCAAACCAATGGAAAAAGAATGACAGGAGTGTCCAACAGACCCCGGAGCAGCAGGGTAGGAGGCCATTGCCATGCCCAGAGAAAACTATGGCAAGAGGACCATTGCTCCCAAACCTGAAGCAATCAGCAAAGCAGGGCATTTTTCAACAGTCATTAGCAGCTATCCTGCTGGGTCCGTGAGTCAGTGGGTGCTATAGTTGGACACAGAACGTCCCATTCCCCTCAGTGCACATATGTTAAAAGTTTGGTTCCCAGGGTGGCACTATAGAGAGACCGAGGGACCTTTCGAAGAGGGGTACCAGTGGGAAATGTCCTGGTCTCTTCCTCCCTTCTCCCTTTCCGGCCACGAGACAAGCAGTTTGTTCCAGATACACTCTCTCTACCAACCACTGACATCTGGGGAAACCCCAGAACTGGGTCTGCCTGGCCAGGAATTAGAATCTTGAAAACTGTCAGCCAAAACAAGCCATTCTCTTTGCAAGTTACTATCTCTTATAGTCACAGAAGGCCAGTAAAGCAAAGATAGGGCTGGAGGCAGCCTGCTTCTGAGAGAGACCAAAGAGAGCTCCTGACTCTTCCCCAGGTGCTCCCCAAACCCTAGGTGTCCCCCAAACCCGAAATGCTCCCCAAAACTCTTGACAGAGAATTCTAAATTTAAAAAAAAAACAGAAAACTATTTTAAAGGTAGTAAGTGATATTTCGGTTTACTATTTTCCTCCAATCTCTCCTTGATCCTAGACCTCACTTACACACACACACACACACACATATATATATATGAATTTATCCTTTAGCCTTCCTGACAATAAATATGTACAATTTCCAGAATGGTACCATGTTTTTGAGGAGGAAAAGAAAGTCCGGTCATCTAATCCAATTCATTCTCCTTTTATAAGTGAACCACTCCAGCTCAGAGACGTTAACCTCACCAAAAGCAGGCAAGAAAGCCAAGAGATGATCTTTCAAAACACGGTAAATATCACAAGAACATGACTCGTTATAACCTTATCGGTAAATAACAAGTCCAGGCAATGCCAGGATGGTGCTTCGGTGCCCTGGTGCACATGCGGAAGACACGGTGAAGCAGAAGCACCCAACATACAGAAGTTATTACTGCCAGATGCCACTTAATCCCCATCACACTGCAGAGTATAGCTGTATCCCATTTTACAGATGAGATAGCTCAGCATAGGGAGGTTAGGGCCTGCTTACTGTCTGTCACAGGACTGGAGAGGGGCGAAGTCCAGTCTTGAACTCCATATGCTCCCGCCTAACCATGCTAACAGGGCCCTTCCAGCAGCCCCTTCTCTCTCCCTAAGAAGAAGGAAGGTTTCTTTCCAAAGCTCTGTGCATTCCCACCGCATTCCTAGACCCTCCCTGTGGTTTTCAGATTTCAAGATGAGAGGCACATCTCTGCTGAGGCTGCAGGCAGTTTTGCAGCATGGTGCCAAGCTCTGCGAGAAAATCTCAGGAGTGCTCCACCCTCCCGAAACCAAACCCCCAACCCATGCAGAATTTCCCGTGGGCTGTAAACTCCCTCCTCCTGCTGCTCTTTCTTCCTGCCCTGCTAAACATGCCTCCATCTTGCCCCCATCCCTCACTCAGTACTTGGTCCTCCTTGACTGGAGTGGCTGGCATGCACAGGATAATAAGAACCAAGAGAGCAAATGGAACTAAAGTGAGGATACAGTGGACTCCCAGCATTCAAAGAGCTCCAACGGCTAGCCAGTGACACTAGGATCCAGGCCCTCACGAGGAAAGCAAAGTACAGAAAGACAGAGGGGCTTTATATCACATTGACTGACTGGCATCATTCTCTCCTAATTGCCAAAGTATTTTATTTGCCGGTATAGTTTCATTTTCAAACAGTCCTGAAGTCAGACCTTAGTTAGTCTTGCCTGGGGCAGTTTCTTAACTTACATGGAGTGGTACAGGTATGTACCTCATAATGTTGGTATAAGCATCAAACAAGGTAGGGACTAGAGAGATGACTCAGTGGTTAAGAGCACTGACTGCTCTTGCAGAGGACCTGAGTTCAATTCCCAGCACCCCATAGCAGCTCACGACTGTCTGTAACCCAGCTCCAAGTATAATCCACTCTCACACAGACATACATGTAGGTAGAACTAATAATAATAACTAACAGTAATAATAATAAGAAAGCATTAAAAAAAGAACAACATGGGGAAAAAAAGAATCAAGCAAGGTGGCATGTATAAAACTCCAGAAAGATCCACCCCCAAACCTAGTGTGTAGAACATCATGGGAATGAGGCATGTTGATTTTTTTTATGTTTGATTCTGTTTAAAACAAGTTCAAATTCGAGTGATACATGAGAAGAACGGGATAGTCTGAGTGTCCCACAAATGCTGTCAGTTATTACCAAACTTTATCACTGATGTTAATGGTCCAATAGAAATCCAATAAAAACTATTTGTATCATCCTAAATTTTCCAGTTGCCATGTTTTTAAAAGCCAAGAAATAGGTGCAATTAAGTTTCATATTTTCTCTATCCAAAAATACTACCATTTCAATATGAAATTAATATTTGAAAACTGACGTGACATTTTCCACTGTTTTAGGCCTCACTGGCATATATATTCCCTTTATAACACATCTAAATTCAGATGAGGGCTCCAAAGCCACACGGGGCTAGTGGCTACCCCACTGGACAGAGCAGCTCTACATTCTAAAAGAAATGCTTAGGGAGATTTTTGCTTTCAGTAAGTGGACGGAATTTAAACGTGGTTTTAATGTTGCCGGCTTAATGCCCGGTGGAGTACCACTCCATGAGCGGCATTCAGGCTGACCTCTGGCAAACCCTGCTCACAAAGCATTGTGGGTAAGGCTTGATTAGTCAGAATGAAAGGCTAACCTCACCCCCCCAGACAACACTGCAGAGGGTACATTCTCTGCCTCTGAACCACAGGGGGGTCCTAGAGCACATCAATGAGAAAGGTGACAGGTCCAAGCTCTCCCACAATGTCCATACTCCACACACTCTGAGAGCCCTTGGGGATGTCACTGATTCAATTTTATTCTAGCATGGCTCATCTGCTTATAGGATCCAGTGACCCTTTAAAAAGCTGCTCTTGTTTAACCTCACACAAAGTTGGGAGACCACATAATCCGACAGGAACCATCAAACATTTAACATCAAAAGAAAATGAACCAAAACACACACACACACACACACACACACACACACACACACACACACACACACATAATTCATCTTTAAGCCCGTCTGGTTTTATACACACGGGTACAAACCTATGGATCGTTACTCTCTCCAGAGTGGCAGCAGCTGTCACCCAAGCCAGCCACCTCCCTGGGACCTGGAGGCAGCTCAGCCTCCACTTCTAATTGGGAACAGAGATACTCCTTGGGTGACTTCCAGCACGATCCATCACACCAGAGACAGCTTCTGTGCAAACCGAAGCAAATCGGTTTCCAAATAAGAAAAAAAAAAAAAAAACCACTCTTAGACAAACAGGGATTGAAGCTTAGGAAGTCAAAAAAGAAAAAAGAAAAACAATGCCACAAATAAAAGCAGAAGAGGAGTAAGAGAATGCCAGGGAAGCACTGTGGCTTCTCCCCAGGCTCCGGACAGGGTGCAGATCAAAGCCATAAGTCTCTGACACAGGTGCCATACGCCTGCCACCCAACGCACCGAAAGAAAAGCTTCCACTGGGCTGGTGGAGCCGCTGAGCTCATTAACAGGATGCGGGCGAGATGAGTCTGAAAGTACGGCATGGGAGCAGAGTGAGTAATTAAATCCCAGGTCATTTAAAAATGCAAACGCCTTGGATGTCACAGGCTCCCTGAGCCTCTGACTTCTCCTTCATTATTAGGCTAAGGATGGAGGGCTGGGAACCGGCAAGTCATATATGGATTATAATAAAATATGCTGTATATAAAAAAAAACAGATTAAGACAGGTCTTCTTTGGGGAAATATACAAAGAGAGAAGCTGTCTGTTGGCTGTCGAGTTTGCAAGAGATACCATCTTTCGGGAGGCTGGGCTCTGCCAACAGACAGGCTGCCCCTAGGGAAATTGTGGTGAAGCACCCCGACAAGGCGCATCCATCCGTCTATCCATCATGGGCTCCTTCTGACACAGGGGCCTGGAGATAGAGTCATGGTACAGAAGGGGGCGGGGGAGCCCACAGACAACAGAGAAAAAAAAATCTCTTGCTAGCGTGTGAGTGCTCAGGGGTTTTTTGTTGTCTTGGTTGTTTTTTTAATGCCCGTCTCTAGTTTTCTTTAAAAATACAAATGTGCCATTTTCTCTTCTGGGTGCTTATTATTTTGAGGCGTTAAGCTCATCACATGGCCTGGGATTTATACATCAACTTACACCAAGGAGCAAGGCGCTTAAAAAGCAGGATTTCCTTTATCCCCAGCAGACCACTCGCAGGCTCGTGGAGCAAGAGCGGGAACGATAGGGATAGGGACCAGAGGCCT